CCCCAGCCCCATATATAGATCATGACCATGTCCCCAGCCCCACAGACAGGGCATGGCCGTGTCCCCAGCCCCACATGTGATGTGTGGCTGTGTCCTCAGCCCCGCATTTAGATGGTGACCGTGTCCCCATCCCCACGAGCGGCACATGGCTGTGTCCCCATCCCCACAAGTGGGACGTGGCTGAGTGCCCAGCCCCACATACAGGGCACAGCCATGTCCCCAGCCCCACATACAGGGCACGGCCATGTCCCCAGCCCCACGTACAGGACGTGGCCATGTCCCCAGCCCCACAAGTGGGACGTGGCTGTGTCCCCATCCCCACAAGTGGGACGTGGCCGTGTCCCCAGCCCCACATACAGGGCACAGCCGTGTCCCCAGCCCCACATACAGGGCACAGCCATGTCCCCAGCCCCACATACAGGGCGTGACTGTGTCCCCATCCCCACGAGCGGGACGTGGCTGTGTCCCCAGCCCCACATACAGGGCGTGACTGTGNGCGTGACTGTGTCCCCATCCCCACGAGCGGGACGTGGCTGTGTCCCCAGCCCCACATACAGGGCGTGACTGTGTCCCCATCCCCACGAGCGGGACACAGCTGTGTCCCCAGCCCCACATACAGGGCACGGCCATGTCCCCAGCCCCACATACAGGACGTGGCCATGTCCCCAGCCCCACAAGTGGGGCACAGCCGTGTCCCCAGCCCCGCGTGGGGTGCAGGCCGGGGGTCCCAGCGCTGTCCCCCACGGCCAGGGACAGCCTGCTGCTGGAGGCCGGGTTCCTGGCCGTGCTGGTGGCCCCCCTGCGCCTGCTGCGCTGGGGGTCCCCGGCCTGGAGACCCCACGACGGCGTCACCTTCTGGGCCGTGCGCTGGCTCCTCTTCCGCCTCATGTTCGCCTCGGGCGTGGTGAAGCTCAGCAGCCGCTGCCCCACCTGGTGGGGGCTCACAGGTGAGGGGCTGTGGGGTGCAGGTGATGGAGGGTGCAGGTTTGGGGGTTCAGTCTGGAATTGCAGTGAATTATTGGGAAGTAGATTATGGGAAGGCCCCCATCCCCCCAGTTCTCCATTACCATTGAATTTGGATTTTTCTGCGAGGAATTTTTTCCATGTTCAGCGCTGATTCTATTTCGTGGTAGGGAACATCTCCATTAGGTTGGAATTCCAGGGAATTGTTGGGAAGCAGGTTCTGGAAAGCCCTCTCTAAAACCCCCTGTGTCCCCCAGCCCTGAGGTTCCACTTAATTCAGAATTCCAGGTCTGGAATTCCCAGAATTGCATCTACTCTGCAATGGGAAAAACTGGGATTAACCCTGAACTGGGTTCAATTTTTGGGAAGTGGATTATGGAAAGCCCCCTGTGTCCCCCTGTGTCCCCCAGCCCCAAGGTACCCCTCAATTTGGGGACACTTTTGCACCAGGAAGATTTTGTGCTCTGCGGTGGGGAAATCTGGGATTAAATCCAAATTAAATTCACTTTTTGGGAAGCGGATTATGGAAAGCCCCCCAAAACCCCCTCTGAAGCCCCCCAGCCCCGAGGTGCCCCTCAATTTGGAAACACTTTTGCACCAGGAAGTTTTAGCCTTGCTTCTGCTCTGCAGTGGGGAAAACTGGGAATAATCCTGAATTAGGTCAATTTTTGGGAATTGGATTATGGAAAGCCCCCTGTGTCCCCCAGCCCCAAGGTACCCCTTAATTTGGAAATATTTTTGCACCAGGAAGTTTTAGCATTGGTTGCACTCTGTAGAGGGGAAAACTGGGATTAATCCTGAATTAGGTTCAATTTTTGGGAAGTAGATTATGGAAAGCCCCCTCTGAAACCCCCCAGCCCCGAGGTACCCCTCAGTCTGGAGTCACTTTTGCACCAGGAAGTTTTGGTGCTCTGCGGTGGGGAAATCTGAGATTAAATCCAAATTAGGTTCAATTTTTGGGAAGTGGATTATGGAAAGGCCCCTGTGTCCCCCAGCCCTGAGGTAATTTAGAAACACTTTTGCACCAGGAAGTTTTAGCACTGGTTGTGCTCTGTAGAGGGGAAATCTGGGATTAATACTGAATTAGGTTCAATTTTTGGGAAGTGGATTATGGAAAGCCCCCTGTGTCCCCGAACCCTGAGGTACCCTTTAATTTGGAAACACTTTTGCACCAGGAAGTTTTCACCATTGCTTGTGCTCTGTGGTGGGGAAATCTGGGATTAAATCCAAATTAAATTCACTTTTTGGGAGGTGGATTATGGAAAGCCCCCTGTGTCCCCCAGCCCCGAGGTGCCCCTCAATCTGGAGTCACTTTTACACGGGGCAGCTTTTCCCCGCCGGGCACTGCCCGCACTGAGGCAGACCCGTGGGGGATTTTTGGGGTGTGCGGTGACCCCCGTTCTGTGCCCGCAGCTCTGACCTACCACTACGAGAGCCAGTGCATCCCCACGCCCGGCGCCTGGCTGGCACACCAGCTGCCCCTGTGGTTCCAGAAGCTCAGCGTGGTGGGCACCTACGTGGTGGAGGTGGCCGTGCCCGTGCTCTTCTTCGCGCCCCTGCGCCGCCTGCGCCTCTTCGCCTTCTACTGCCAGGTGGGGAGGGGCTGCTGCCCCCGGGAGGGCTGCCCGGGGGCCTTGGGCTCGGGAATTTGGGTTGTGTTCCTCTTTGGGCTCGGGAATTTGGGGTGGTGTTCCCCTTTGGGCTCAGGAATTTGGGTTTTGTTCCCCTTTGGGCTCGGGAATTTGGGTTGTGTTCCCCTTTGGGCTCGGGAATTTGGGTTGTGTTCCCCTTTGGGCTCGGGAATTTGGGTT